CTGTTCATTTGGTGGAATTTTCGCAGTCTGCACAGACAGAAATACGTGAAGAAGAACTTAAAAACGGTTTGGTAGACAATAGAAGGGTTTGCTTAGTGCTGCACTCCATGAAAGCTACCAGTTAGGTCATTTACGCAAGCTGTCCTTTTCGCGAAAAATTACTATGTATGACCAACTCCTGTCATCTCGTTGTGACAATTTTCACATCCCATTTTCTCTATTCCTTTCAGTTTCGACTCTTCATGAAGACGGTAAGCAACCGATCATTTACGCTTACCAATTTTTCACGAAAAGGACAGCACAGTATAGACCGGCTGACCCGGCCGTGGCTTGGATGAAGTGCATTACTAGGCATACCCTTCCATTGTCTACCAAGCTGTGGAGATCTCACGATTTTGTGTAGAATATACAGGCCTGTCAGATTCTGCGTAAACTATCTGCCGGAAAGTTCACAGTAGTCTGCAGTTCTCCTAAGATTTCCTGAAGCTTACATAGAGGTACCATAAAATGACACAACTCACTTCCATGCGCATAATATAACTAGAGACCTCATGATGCTTAATCTGTTTACAAGATTGAAGTTCATCCTTGACCCTTTTGTTTCAGGCAAGCAAGCATAACGTCATAAGCATCACATACATAACGGCACATCTACGCATACGCGCACCTCGCAGGCACCCTTGCATAGATACATATAAACATGCATATGCAGGGTGGCTGATAAATATAGGACACGCCGCTTGGCGCTTGGTGGCCTGCGCATGTGAATTTCCGAAATTCTTTTGCGCAGGAGCTGTGCATTTAATTGACCGCACGCTTGAACAATCGCTATGAAAATTTCTGCCACACCACCGAGTTGTTGGTCAAAGAAGGTGCCAGGAGTTTGACATCGCGAAGCGCCTCGGTGATCTCCCTTCTATCAAAATATCTCTGCTGCTCTCAGGACTCGAGGACAAACCTCTGGGATTCCAAAAAAGAAAAGAAATGACCGAAAAGAAAAGAAATGACCGAAAATAGTGGACACATCGAGTGTTCTTGCCATCACTAGGAAGAGGATCACCCGCAACGATGGGATCAGCATGTATCGGATTGCTCCTGACCTCAACATCAGCCGTAAGACCGTCTAGAAAATTACGAAACCGACCTCAAGCTAAACAGTCGGAGGACAGGACAGGACTAAGTCGGCTGGTAATATGCGAAAAACTTCCCCGGAAACCCAGACCGCGCCGCATTTCTGACGTGATCTAGTCTGAGACGAGTCTTTTTTTCCAGAAAAACTAGGGTTTGTCGCTTTTGATGGCCTTACGCCACTGCTGGATTACCCAGTTTTTGTGGGCATGAGCCCAATCGAGAAGCGCATCACGATTCTTGGCAGAAATCGGCGGCTTCTTTGCTGGACGATGTCCAAACAGACCGACCTCTTTCAAAAGACGTAGAACAGTGTTCACGAAAGGATTGGTCTCTCGGGCGGCGAGATTTCGCGAAAAGTTTTGACGCGAGCCATTTGTTGCACGCTGCACAATTTTCCTATCGAAAAAACAATCGTCAATCTCGCTGCCTCTGGGTGAATTTTAGCTTCGGCTGACCTTGTGACCTTGTATTCCTTCCGAATCGCTTGTACGCACATAACCGGCACGCCTTGAACTTAAACTCGCCTGGATGTTAAGGCTTCCTGGAAGCCACGAATGTCGGCGTCAAATTGATCTTGCCGTGACTAACAGATTCCCGAGTGCATTGGAAAAGTCTTATTGATGTACTAGGTGCATGACGTGACACAAAGGAGCAAGAATTACCTCGAATTTCCCAACGTAAAAACCCACGAGTTATCGAAGGCAAAAATGTGCGTTAGGGAGCTGTTTGAAAATTAAGCGCAAATTTAGGTTGGAAGTGTGCTGCTAGGCTGCTGCACAAGTATAATGTTACTAAGTGTTAAAGTCAGGTGCTGTTTAAGTTTCCACCGAAAGGTTGGAATTTGCGGAAGTTATGTTTAAAAAATTGAAACGCATGCTTCACTGACCGGTACTATATATATATATATATATATATATATATATATATACCGACCGACCGACCGAGCACTCTACATGCCATCAAACTCGTGGATTATTTATAGTAAGGATAGCCTCTGACCAGTTTTCCTCCGTTTTTGGAACGCTTTTGAGCAGGGTGATGAGTTTTTGACCTTAGCCCGCCCATTCGACGCAAACCCCGCGCCCTAAGGTCATCTAACCACATATCTTCCATAACCTCCAACCACTTTTTCCCGGACAGATGCTGAACTTGTGGATTATATAGCGTATGGACAACGGATTATTTATGGTAAGGATTGTATGTTGCTGGAAGTGTGCAAACTCCATGACCGCTATAGGATCGTGGTATTATGCTCTGCTCACTCGCGTCGTATAACTCCATCCGAATTCGGTCTGTTGCCCGTTTTGCTTTTCCCAGGGTCTACTGTTTGTAAAATTCCGTCACCATTGCAAGCCCCAATACTTTGCGGTATAGCATGTGTTCCATTGCAATTGGGATGTTGATTGCTAAAGATAGGGTGTTCTGCTTTCGGTAATTATTTCACTCATATGTCGGGTAAAACCTTTCCCAGTCCTCCACAGCGCTGATAAGTAAGAATCAATGCTTTCCTATAATGTGTGGTGACCATTGAACTATCGGTGAAAAAAAACGCTAAGCATCATATAGAGAGAGAAAAGACGAATTGTAAGAAAGTGTCGCATTCCTAACCGTACTTTTTTATATGAGTCACACCCTTTTGCCAGCGAGAAGAAATTATTACCCTAAGTTGGAAGATTTTCACTTTTGCGCAGTGAGTGCATGACTCGTTTTAAGGCACAGTTCATTGAAGCAAAATATCGGGCTGATGCGAAATTTGTGAGACACTAGGATGCACGTTTTCGATTCTTTCACAATTCCATTCATACTCTCACTCATTAAACCGTGTAGTCACCATTAATATCTGCTGCACTCGAGGAACGCGCGATTCACGCGCTACCTCATCAGATTTTTTGGCCGGCACAGCACGCGACATGCGGCTCAGCAGATTACGTCGTGATTTCGATCATTCAGTTGAATGGACCAATCGAAACTTGCACCATTCCATAGCTTTATCATGAGGCAGTTCACGTCTTTTTAACATGTCGATAAAGCCCATTTGAGATTGAGGGTTCACTACATAGCTAGACAATTTGATTGACAAACGTTCTACATAAGTATAACTTCAAAAAGTTTTCATCCTTATAAACGCAACCTTTCTGTATAGCTGGTTATTTTTACTTCTGTTTTATAGTTTCTATTTTTCCCAGTCGTCGAAGGCACCGCGCCGCCGCAAGCCCACCCTTCACGCAAAACGACCTCATTATCTCCGCGCGTGAATCACTACTTTAATGGAACTCGTCCATCGAGGGCAACTCGGCTAGTCATTTCTCGCAATATCAGTATGACTGTGAGTCGAACAATTAAGTCGAAGCCTTTCTGAAGTTTCGGACGAGGAATACCAACCTTCCTTAGATACTGTTTTGGCACAGGTTGCACGAATGGTTCATCCCCTTATAAGAGATAGAGAGCAACCCTCTCTCAGTTGTCATAGAGGATTCTTTGATGAGGAGGTTCTCATTTCCCGTCACCATGTCCTACAAGAACTAACTCCTATTGGGCGTGACGGATAGCGAGTAGCGGATTGAGGCACGCGCGATACGGATATCGCCTTCCACGTGGTGCAGAATCATCGAGTGTGAGCATTCTGTAACTATCTTCGGAATGTGTTGAATGTGGCTCTGATCGCACTCGAGTATCTATGCCAAATCTCAGTTCGTAACCTTGGACCTGCCCTTCATATTACTGAGAAGTCGGTCATTTGAGTAGCATTTGGTCGTGTGAACAAGCGTCATCGTATCTGGGATTAAAGAGAGCGATCAAGCGAGTGTTGGTTGCATGGCTGGCAAGGTCCTCTACTATTGCAGTGCTAATGTTGGAAGCGGCTGAACCGCAATGGAGCTGCGGCACGTTCCGCAGAAGGCAACTCCTCCAAGTTGATATCTTAATGATTGCATAATGGTTTGAAAGAGATGTGCTCAAGGACTCACATGAATGTATTAGTGGTAACTTCGAAAATTTTCTTGAATGTGGTATGCTACGAGGGTGCCAGAGGTTTTTACAGAGAAGCAACGGTATGTGTAAATTTGTGCGACATGACTTTCACATCAACCTAATATTTAGGTAATCATTAAGTTAAAAAATTTCGGATATATAGTTTTTCAATGCACTTCCTTGATGATTCCACTGCTATACCTCGGTAAGACGGCTGTTCTACTCATTCATCACAAACGTCTTGGTAGAACTTTGTCATAACCAATACAAGTTTTCCATTTCATATTACTAATATGCCAAATCTCAACTTATGGATTTTCTAATTTCATTTCCACATCTCGCGACCACCCATGATTTTTCAGATTTATGGTATTTTTCAGCTTATTTTCTTAATTCTGAGTCACAATAGTAGAAATAGGCACCAAACAATGAGACCAGTAAACTCGCTGCGTATTATATATCGAAAAATCATGATGCGTCTATTGTTTCTTTCTGTTTAAAATCTGCCTCGAAATGGCAGATGCCTTTTCCATATAAAACTACCTTGGTCAAGTACGTCTTTGGAAAGATCGTCTTGCAACCACTTCGGAGTAACTAAGCGGAAGCTAAAAAAAATAGGATGAAACAAGACGAGCAGTAGCTTGAATGCCGTGAAAATCTGTGGTAGTTTCCTTGTCGATTGTACGACATCAACAGTTGAACAGGAGCTTGGACGAGTTGCCTTACTTGAGAGATAGAATTTAATATTCTGATCCAGCTGAGACCCATCCTAGTGATCAATCTAGCCTCGGTTAGTCCCATTCTAGTATGAAACGGTTCCGTTATTAGGAAACATGTTTTCAGGATAAATTGGATCAGGGCGATAAGGTGTTTAAGACAGTCGAGGACTTTGTGAACACCTATGTGGAAGATGTTGCCAAGCGACGTCCTATCAAGAAGGCTCGTCTTTCCATGTTTTCGTCCTGCTTACCAGCTCTTAATCGGTAACATTTCATGTTTCAGATGCTTGTCGCTACAAATGGAATTGCTGCTGTTCGTTGTATACTTTCTATACGAAAGCTGCTCATGCAACTTTTCCGTAATGATCGTATAATAAAATTCATATGTCTGACTACGGAGCAGGAAATTCGATCAAATGCTGGTAAGCGTCCGCAAAATCGTTTATATCACATGCGCCATGTTATGATTCCTGTCCTGGGTGATTTGAATCCCCTCACGTGTGCTTCTGGTTTCCTTTTTTCCGATAACATTCAATACCGGACAGATTGATCCACTCGTTTTCACTTGATGTTTACAATCAAATGAGACACCATAATTGGTCGACACCAAAATGAATTGGCTGATTCGTTAGCTCACGGTCTCGCTCAACTTCCCTCGACCTTCTTAGGTGATATACAGTCATGATATGACGAATCTTGGTGTTCTTCACGCACGCGAAAGTGCAGCTTTTTTGGCACTCGAACGAGAAAAGCTGCGACTTCTTTAACCTGCACAATAAAAAGGTTATGATTGAAATCATGCAGTTTTTCTTCTGAAACCTCTATCTAGAATGGTATAAAGTCCCTCTTGGCATTGCATGTGCTATGTCCGTCGTCGTCGCTATCATTAGGTGACAGAGAGGATCATTATGGTCGTCTTCCACGAACTGCTCTTCCTCACGATCTCAGTGTGAAGGCTGTCCTACACGTACAGTTTCACGCTGTAAAATGGCGCAGAAGAAAATTTCTCTTTTACCTTCTGTTCCTTGTCGATGTGTTCACATAATGTCGCTGCAACCAAAGTCCTCTGGCAATTAAGATAACATCAACTTTAGGTGGATATTTCTCTGATACTATGTTGAAGCGCGCTTTAATTTAGTGACCCATGCGAGACATTTCTAGAGGAAGCATCATAAATCGCTGAAGATTTTGCAAGACGTTTTGGGCAAAAGCTTTGTAAATTCTTTTTACTCGAGCTGCGCCTTTACTGGGTGAGTAAAGTGACTAGGTAGAGTGAAAGAAATCTCTTCGCGGCTATCATTTCCAGTGTTTCTGCAAAGTAAGGGAGGGCCTTGGGTAATCGATATTAGGGGCTTTTTGAGTTAGGGTTAATCGAGAAAGAGCACTTCGCAAATTACATGAAAAAACAAAACGTGCATATGCGTCAAATTTCCGAACTTGCATGTCGTGTCCGTGAGTCCGCTGCCTTAGCAGCTGGCCACCGTCGCACACCGGAGAAGTTTGACCGAGTGATATAACACAGGAAAACGGTTGCATTAAACTGTTCTTAGAATCGCTTCGCAAATTTGAAACGCAACGTCAGCGATCTAAAACACTTGGTGGAATACGTCTTGCCTTAAATAGCCTCTGCGACATCGTATCCTACCCTTGTTAGTCAATCAATCATTTGAATACTTTATTTCTGGATTAGAGTTCGTTACAAAGTTTTGACTATTATCTGGAGCGAACAGCAGAGGTTTTTGTTCATCAGCACTTCCCAGTTTTTTTTTCAGGTTCAATTGCTGAAGGGTTCTGTGGTCGCTTTCTATAAGCAAACAGGCGGATACACCTTTGATCGCAAAACGAAAGTGCTGTAGTGTGTTAGATATTATCTATCCCAGCGAGAAGGAAGCGGAGGCGCGGAAATTCTTCGCGCTCAAGTGGGAGGGGACCTTTGCCCACTGAACACCACGTGGCCCGCAGGCGGGCCGCAGTAGAATTTTATACATTCATTCTACTTTTATTTGACGCTTTCGATTATCGAATAGGCTAACAACCCACTGAAGAATTTTGAGACGCAGTGGTTCTAGAAGCGTTCAGACGATTAATAGTAACGAGAGAAAACATAGCTTTATGTAAAGGAAATGAAAAAAGCAAAATTAGCTTTATCAACTGATTGATTACAATACCTCAACTGATAAATAAGGACACAAAAATAATCGTGGTCCTAGCTGCGTCTTGAGAAGATTTTCTTTGCATAAGTCATGACAAACCTATTTCTAGTAGCAACCATGCACTTTCTAGGGGTTTCTCCCCGACTGCTCTTAGTTTTTCAATCCAGTACTCCCATTGAAGTGAGGATTCTACACGATTCATATTACATTCGGGAGAATACATCCCTCTTGCGTCGCAAAAGCTCCCCGAATTCAAGAGTGCTATCTATGTGACGGAGTGAAAGAGAATCCTTTTCGTGGTGCGTAGTACGAACGCTCTACGAAAGATCTATTCATTTAGCTTCTTTTTCGTTGACAAGTAACGGTGTTCTTAGACGATTTTAATCGAAGTACAAATGTGTTCTTCCTAGAAGTATTTTGGCTTATCGAACCAGTGTGGCTGGCATCATAGCCGAATCGTCTGCCATTGTCTGGTAGAACACATCAAGGAGTTCCATGTACGGCTTTCTATAAACCTCGGCATAATTGTATCATTG